CAAAAGTGCGAAGATGGCATAAGAAGGCAATACTTTATCTTGAGTGAGCAAATTTTATTTCCTTCTTTGTGCCAAATAAATAAATACTATAAATGTAAAGATATTTTTGTCTATAAGCATATTGTTTATTTATATATACATCGCAATTTCATTAAAAATCAAATACTAAGTGCGAGTAAATATATTTTTGTATGCCACATCGTCCCAACAACTATATATTGCCCTACATTTGTGGCGCAAGAGAAGGATGAACGTCTCATTTTCTATCCAACCAAGCTACCATACAGTACCAAAACTACTCCAAATGTTTTGCTCTTCCTTGAAGGTTTTCTATATATATATATATANCAACAACTAAACCAAACTTTGACATTTAATTGCTCACCTTATTTAGACTAAAAGGACTCCTCAACCCCCTATGACAATCATCTTTTATCTCTTCACCATCTGCTTGTCATGTCTCTATGTAAACTCGGAGTCCATCAGCCGTTCTGATTTTCCAGAGGGGTTCGTTTTTGGAACTGCTTCTTCAGCTTATCAGGTATCGCTTTAATTACTTTTTTCGCCGTTCTTCTTTTGCCCCTTTGAACTGCATGTTTCTTTTGCTCTTGCAGTTTGAAGGTGCAGTAGATGAAGGAAACAAGGGAATTAGTATATGGGATACCTTCATTAAGAGACCAGGTCATTTTCCAGTTTTCCTATTAACAACAACTAAACCAAATTTGGTTTTCTTGAACAGCTTTCCTTCAATCAAATATCAAGCCTTTTTTCAGAAAAAAGTTAGTAATAATATTGTTTCTGATTCCATAGGAAGAATACTGGACTTTAGCAATGCGGACACAGCAGTGGATCAATATCATCGCTTCCAGGTAAAATCATGCACCTTAATTAAGCTACATTGATTGCCACGTACAGTTTTTTTTTTAATTTTTTTTATTGTAAATTAAAGTTATTCATTTCTTGGTCTTTCGGGGTACTAAACTTTATTGGAAACACATGTAAACATGCTTTCGGCTAAGGATTATCTTTGCAGAGAAAAAACCACGATATTTGGAGAGAATGGAAAAATAAAAGGTACTACTACTTTATGGACAAGTAGAGTCACCTAATCATTTCATAATTAAGCACCGATTGATTAAAATAAGAGAACACACATGGGACTTATCATCTTTAAAAGATAAGAATAACAGTTGCTTCCACATCAGGGTATTCTCTAGGAAAAAACTACAAAAAAAGAGCCTCTTGTCCAAAAAGTCTCAGTTTTGTCGTTATTTAACTAACTAATACGAGGTGACTTTGACATTACAGAGTGACATAGAATTGATGAAGAAAATAGGAATGGATGCCTATAGATTTTCAATATCTTGGACACGTATATTCCCAAGTAAGATTTTTTTCTTTTTTTTTTCTCCTCTTTTTATTAAGACTAGTATTTTTCTTCTATTTTGCTTCCTAGCTTACATGTAGCATTATTATATGTCACAGATGGAACAGGGGAACCAAATCCAGAAGGAATCCAATACTACAACAATCTCATAGATGCCTTACTAGAAAAAGGTTTCATTAAGTAACATTCTATCTACAACCAAACTTTATACATATGAAGCTAATCATTTTATTGTAAACTCAGGAATTCAACCCTATGCAACACTGTTTCACTGGGATCTACCACAAATGCTTGAAGATTCGTACGAGGGATTTTTGAGCAATCGAATAATGTATGTACTTCAACGAGCATACGGTCTTTCAGAAGTGAAGTACAAAATTTTCATCTGATAAACTCTATTTCGTTACAGACATGAATTTGAACGATATGCTATTACTTGTTTCAAAGCATTTGGGGATAGAGTAAAGCATTGGATCACCTTTAACGAGCCTCACGGTTTTACAATTCAAGGTTATGATTCGGGGGTTCAAGCTCCAGGAAGGTGCTCTATTCTTTTCCACGTTTTCTGCAGGAAAGGAAAATCGTCTATCGAGCCATATATTGCAGCACATAACATTCTGTTGTCTCATGCTGCTGCTTATCATGCTTACCACAAAAAGTTCAAGGTATATGTTAATGACTACTTCATTAAAAAAAAGAGAAGGAGATTAGTATTTGGACTTTCTGTTCTTATTCACCTAGTATTCCAGGCAAGTCAAGGAGGCAAAGTGGGGATAGCATTAGATGCTAAATGGTATGAGCCACTTTCAGATTGCGAAGAGGACAGAGCTGCTGCAAGTAGAGCAATGGATTTTGGACTTGGCTGGTAATTTTAGTCATGTATTTATTGTAATAATGAGTGTAACATAGTGATATAACGAAAATAAAGTGACTCAGGTTCCTTGATCCACTTCTACTTGGGAATTATCCTCTTTCAATGCAGAAGTTGGTGGCAGAAAGACTGCCTGAGATCAGTCCCGAGATGTCAAAACTGCTGAAGGGGTCTTTGGATTTTCTTGGCATCAATCATTATACCACGTTATATGCTCGGAATGATAGAGCTAGGATTAAGAAGCTTGTATTAAATGATGCTTACTCTGACTCTGCTGTGATAACTACCCGTAAGATATCAAAAGTACTACTACTATTTCAATTGGATGATAAATCAAAAGTATTAACTGATGACTCCTTGTTACTTCAGCTTTCAGGCGTGGAGTCGCAATTGGAGATAAGGTATGTCTAACTAGTTGCTTGTGGCACTTTTATATTTGCTTCAAGTGGTGATTTTTGTCCTCAAAAGATCATGTCTTCCTCCAGGCAGCATCTGGTTGGCTGCGCATTGTCCCCTGGGGCATTCGGAAATTAATGAATTACATCAAAGATAAATATGGAAACCCGTTGGTGATTATTTCTGAAAATGGTAAGAAATGTCATCCTACACAAGTAAGAAACAGAACATGAGTGATAATTGTCCTGATTGCAGGTGTGGATGAACCTAACAAATCGTATATCGCATTAAATGATGCTTTACAAGATGACAGCAGAATAATTTACCACAGAGACTATCTTTCAAATCTCTCTGCTGCCATAAGGTGCTCACTAGTCAGCTGGCTTCCCTATACTCAAACTTTGATTTTGGTGCATTTCAGATTACTACGCTTCGGAATAATTATCTATTTCCTGGTTATTCTGTTCATACATCTAATTTAACAAATTGTCAAACTAATGCAGGGAAGACAACTGCAATATCAAAGGTTACTTTGTTTGGTCTCTACTTGATAACTGGGAATGGAATTCAGGTTATACTGTACGGTTTGGACTATACTATGTAGACTTCAAGAATAATCTCACAAGGATACCGAAATCCTCTGCTAAGTGGTTCAAAAGCATGCTGACGTCAAAGAGAAACCTGAACATAGAATAAAGAAATTTGTTTAATTCGTTTGAATTCGCTGATGACAGAAGCAAAGATGATACTGTAAAATTTGATCAATGTACATTAGTATCATTTCTTGTACATTTTGTGACATAAGATACTGTAAAATTGGATCTATGTACATTAGATTTCATAGCCTGTAAATTGTGTACCAATAAACAAAGAATACAGGAGACAGTTGAATGCAATTGTTCAATAAAATACAAAAACTTCAGAGGAAGATGAAGCATTTGATGTCTGTTCTCTTTTCTTTTTCCAGGTCCAGCTAGTGTGACGCTATAACAGTGTTGAAACATCAACCAAGCAATACTATAAATCTATAACACTAGAAAACTAAAACAGCACATTCTGTAGCTCAAAAAGAATAGTTAATGGTATAGTCTGCAGATTTAAATCGTATAATTTGCTCAAGTAGATTTGAGATTCCTACTATCAGTGGCAGAACTAAGTAGAAGGAGGGGGTTCATTGAATCCCCTTCCAACGAAAAATTATACTGCACAAATAGAGTAAAAAAGATTTTTTTTATTAGATGTATGCTTTTGAATCTCCTTGACGTGAAGAAAAATTCTAGTGAAGTGGCAAAGGAGTTCAAAATTTGTTTTAGATCACAAGTTCAAATCTCGTATATGACATTCTATTATTTTTTTGAATCTCCTTGTATAAATTCCTGACTCCACCTCTGCTTACAATGTTACCATCAGCAAATTGTTCTCCTGGAAAACTAACTTAAACTAACTTTTGGATCAGTGCCTTTCCTATAAAATGCAGTAAATCCTTTACATCCCAAAAGCCCAGATTGCCAACCGATTCTTTTTTTTTTTACTTGCATGATCCCGCATACTTGTGCGTGTGTTTGAGAGCCAACATTGTGCAAATCTTGTTTGACGAGTTTAGAAGATAGAACCACGACTGTGTAGGACAGACTCCAAGTAAAAAAGACTCGGGGAAGTGCTCTGAGAAATGGCGTATCCGCCACACTCACGCATCATTCTTCAATCCATGACGGAGGGAGTTACACATGCGATAACCCCGAAACTAGAGTGATTATGGCTTTCATCGACACCAATTTCTGGTGAATATACCTATCTTTTGAACACGATCAACGGAACAGAGGTCTCTGCATCGTCCGTTCATCTTGTCTATCTTAGTAGGGTATCTTCGTGCCTTTTGAACTTTTTGCAGCTTGCAGTCCCGTCCAGAGGCCAAATGTTGCTGTAAACCACCTAGCAGAAGCTGCATTTATACCCCAACCCATAGTTTAGAGTCCTGTTTGGATGAGAAAGGCCTTCTCGCTGATACTTGGAATGAAAGATGACCTCTAGCTATCCCCGTTAAAAATCTTTATATAACAAAAAAATTTGAAAAGTCTTTTGAGTGCAGCATCCAGGAGCAAAGAGAAATTGGTATATTCAGGACGTTTTTGGCTATAATCTAGAGTTTCCGTTGTGAGTGCTATTCTGGAGAAAGAGCCAATCGCCACCCTTGAGAGGCAAAGAACCACGCAGCAAAAAGCCATAAAAATGAAAGAAAAATAACGACCATACAGCGACAAAAGTTACTTCTGCATCTAACTCCATATTATCAAGGTTGAAAACAGTGACGGCAAAGCATATTCCAGTTTCGCCGTGCGTGGAAAGTTGAACAAAAGAAACAACTGGATACGATGTAGAGAAGATGCACTTTGAACTTTAGAATCCCTGCAAAATACATGGTGTCCCCCTAAATCCAAGTTAACGTCGCATGCAGATGCAGCCAGTGACTGCTAAATGCCAAAATAATCTTCTCTCTCTAGATGACTGAGTGAAGAAATAGACCTAACACTTTCAAAAACGACTTTATTTAATTTACAAGCCTAATCGGTAAGTCATTCATAGTCCTATTCAACCAAAACCATCAGTACTTAAAGAAACTGTAACACTCAGTGATGTAACTTCGGCAAATTGAAATAACTTCGGGGACATTGATAATTAACGGCGTTTCAGGACGACAACCATAATAGCCATGATTGCCAAGCCGATGAAAGATGCTCCCAACGTCTTTTCCACAGCGCCTAATTTAGCACTTCCATCAGCTTCAATAAAAACCTTGGTGCCTCCAAAGAGATTGTTAAAGTAATCCGACAAGCTGCTCATCATATTGATCACTGTTTGTGTCACTGTATGTGTAACATTCTGCAGAAAACCTGTAAATGAATTCTTGGATTTAGACTCTTCCGCCTCATATTTGGAAAACGCATTCCTTGGGGATGACTGAGAAAAGGAATCAGTATCAGCAACGGACTCATCCATCTTTTGATCCAAGTCAGGGAATGATGCACCTGCAATAATGGGAATATAGTAAGAAGCTTGGACCATGATGAGGGTTTTGAAGAAAATCAAGGACATACATTTCTCACTGGTTTTCTGTGACTCGAGGAATTCTTGAAGGGCAGGATTTTGCAGTACTGCAGTCCACACATTTGGGTCACAAGCAATTGAAGCAACAACACTCTGGGGAGGGAGAAAAATGAAATTAACATTAGCAAACATGGAATACTCGTGACCTCCGGACACTCCTAAGAGCTTCACAAAGTTGTTATATGCTCATATGCCAATATGAGTAACAAAACAAAAATGCATAAAAAAAGGACACTAGCAGATTCTACTTATATTTCTATAGCACCTAACACATCTAGGCAGCTTCGTGCTCACGCCTCATGCTAAAATTTGAATTAAGAAACCTAATACACCCGCCTTCTTCAAAACCGCAGAATTGAATATCATGGCAAATTACACTAAATGAATTTTCAGAAAGTAAAATAAACAAGCTAAAGAAATCTCCAGCAGGTGAACTGCAGGGGCAGGGGACTTTATCTTGCATATCACTGCCATTCTAAGAGTCAAATTACAGTTATGTTAACCTGCTGCTTCTTAAGAAATTTAAGATAGTATCTCAAAGATCAGTATTCCACTCGACTCAGATAAAGCTCTTCTACAGACGTCAACATCTAGAGAGCAGTGTCAAAAGAAAAATCAAATAAGCTCCGTCCTACTACACACTGGCAAGGATGAAAAGCTATAAATTCTCTAGTCATTCGCACCTCCAAGAAAACATCCTCTGTTCAAGGAGATTTCACGGGTACAATTAGGGACTGTTTATACAGTATAATTTTGTATTTTAACTGATATTTGATTCAGTTTCTCTTGACCCTGACAAGAGTGGGTTGCTCTAGTGGTGAGCACCCTCCACTTCCAACCAAGAGGTTGTGAGTTCGAGTCACCCCAAGAGCAAGGTGGGGAGTTCTTGGAGGGAGGGAGCCGAGGGTCAATCGGAAACAGCCTCTCTACCCCAGAGTAGGGGTAAGGTCTGCGTACACACTACCCTCCCCAGACCCCACTAGTGGGATTATAGTGGGTTGTTGTTATTGTTGTTGTTCTCTTGACCAGATCTTCATATTTGGTCAAATTGAACATAGGCATATTCATTCCTCATCCTAGTAACAACTTATATACTAAAGAATTAAAAAAGAAATTGCTATATCAAGTGTCTATGTCATGAACATGGAGTAGTACATAGGATAGAGAACTCAAAAAAATTGTTAACATAAATGACAAAGCAGAAAACCTGAGCTGCAGGAGTTTCACTTAGAAACCTAAATGCCTGTATAGCATGTTTCGGCGCGGAAGGAGTGACAACAGTCTTGCTGGCAACACAGGCTTTTGAGAAGGGCAATAAGCTTGAGCCGGAAATACAAGAACCTCCATAATCACTAGCAGGCTGGGACAAGTATACCCTGTATGTTTAAGAAGCATTTTAAATTACCACTATATAAGTAGTTGATCGCAATAACTATCAGATCAGAAAAATATCTTTTGGGCAAATATAATGGCAGAGCGACATTGAGAAGTCAATATCACAACCAAGTACAATATCTCCACCAAATCCCAAACCACAAATCTTCGGATGTTGCCAAAGGTTCATGGTTAATGGAAGTATGAAAAGATTAATGGTACCAAAATTATCAGCAGCGCAAGAGCATAATTGACAAGCTCATAATCATTTTTGTATTCCATCCAAGCAAGAATTCAGCGTTAAGTTCCTTTTCCTTCTCCTTTCCTTCATCCTTCACAGGTCCAATACTAAGGTATGTCACTTCACTAACACTGTCACAGAAACGAGGGCATTTGAGCTCTCGCAAAGTGTCACCCAACTACAGTATTTATGAGAATGTGCAGCTCATGACACGTAACAAGTTGAAAAGGCCCTTTCCTTTTTTTTTTTGTAAAAGCTTTCCGCGCCTAAATGTTTAGAGGCGGATTAAGAATTTAGGCTCTATAAGTTCAACGTTCAAAGTTTTAAAAATTGAACCCATTGTAATTTTAAAAATTATGGATTCATACACATTATTTATTGCAATTTTGGAGAAATTTTTAAGCACAAAGGTACTAGGTTCAGCTGAAGCTTGTACCAATGCATTGCATCGTCCTCTAGAGGTTTACACCACTCAAATGAATACATGATACATGTTTTAACCTACACTCTTATCACTAAATCATAGTTAATTAATACACATTCTCACCTTAATTTATGACATAACCATGGTAGAATATTTGATTTTGGTCTGGATACATTTTTAACCCCTTTTTTTGGGTTAATCCAAAAGGCCTTAACAGCATAAATGCCTTACTTAACTTCCCTCCTTTTACTATCGTGTGTCAATATGAACAGCAAACACTACCCTGCAGAGCTTATTTGCGGTTAGTTCTACAGACCAAAAGGTGCTTCCATTTCAAAATTTACTTCGTATTGGATAATTCCAAGTTACATTAAAGTGAAGCAACATAGACAACACCATGTCCCATTTTATTCTACCGAGTAAAAACAGATTGATCAAAAGGTTGAAAAGCATGATCTTTGCACTTAATATTTATCATAAAGTATCGCCTTTGTGTTAAAAAACCAATAGCACAGTAAATTTTAGTATAGCAAAAGTAAAAATTCTCGTGCAGGAGAAGTTAGATTAGTTAAAGTGTACTTTTCGAGTGCATCTTTGAGATCAGAAGTAGCCTCTGTAGCTTCCTGAAGAGAAGGCGCTCCACCGAATACGACTCTTGGCAGCGGCTCACCAGACTTAACGATCATGTCCTCCTCGCCGCCGGCCATCTCCCAGTCATCAAATTCCGACAAAATCTTTTGCACCGAAGACACATCGACTGAACCACCGTGAACCACGCCGGACTTGACATCTTCCGAGGATGATGTTATCGCGGACACCGACACCGGACGGACGACGTTGCGCGCGGCTGTATAAACTGGATGCTCCGCCGTTACAGAGCGGAAGCCGCTGTTAGCGACGGTGACTCCGGCTACTTTCGCCGCTGCTCTGAACGCTCCTCCGCCACCCATGATTTTCGTGATTATCTATCTCTTCGAAATTGACGAAGAAAAATATGTGACCAATTCTTTAAGGAACGAAGAGAACGATTGCGTGTAGGTTTCGTGGTAAGCGAGGAGTCTGACGATGTCACGTGTCAATGACTTGTTGCTTACTTAGTTAGGAAGATCTTTTTGTTCGGATAATATTCCCAAATAATCTATCAAAAATAATGAGGGAATATATATATATAATATTTAGTTAATGTTTGTGTTTAATTAAGCGATTAACTGATACCTCATTCGGAAAGAGAGAAAGATGAAAAAATAAAATAAGAATAATTTATCTATCTATATTATATTAAAAATATTTATACTATATTAAAATGGTTAAGTTCTTAAGCCTAAAATTAAATTATTAAAATACTCATTAAATTTTGATGGACAGTTTTACCCTTCATCAAAGAAAGGATAAGATAAAAATCTTCTAAATAAATCAAATTCCCTACTCCTGGAAAATGACACCAATTAACAAATTCTCAAGAAAAGAACTGACAGACGCACCTCTTCGATAGCACTATACAACATGACTTGGAAAAGGTGTTTTATCATTTTCAAAAGGCGTTGCTTGTAACACACAGTAGTACAAAGATGCTTTCCATCGGAATCAAGAATTTCAAAAGGACGAGTGAAATATTGTAAAGAAGTGTATCTAAAATTTATATTTGACAGGTTTAACTTTTATCTCTTATCATAAATTTATTGTTGCTTTGAAATTATATGTTTAAAATTATATTTATTTTAAAATTTTAGTAATTTTTACATATATTTATACTCCAAGTCCATGCTGAAAACAAGACCGTTCGGAGTGCAGGATTTGAACTGCCAATATCACTTGTAAATGTGCACCAAATAATAATTACACCATAAGAGTCTTTGAGCATGTGTGCACACATATATATTTAAATAATTTTAAAAAAATATAACATTATTATACATGATTTAGGAAAAAGAGTATGAGTTCACGTGAACCCATACCCCTGGATACGCCTCAGCCATCCATAGTATGGAAGAGGAAATCTTGAGGAGTCGATGGAGATAAGAGTTCTCCACTTCACCATTTAATCAGGGATATCAATCGATAACCCTTCGCTGAAAAATTATATTATATTATTAGGTAATTTTTTTATTTTATACATATTTACCATAAGTTGAATTTTCTTGACTTTTAGGTGTATTTAATTTTTTATATTTTGATACCCCTTAATAAAAGTTCTAACTCCACTACCAATCCTAGATAAAACTTATAAGACAAGGCAATGGAGTAAACAATGCAATGTTTGAATTGAAAACATACGAGTTAAAGAATACATTTCTCTTCAGGAAATTAATGAAGAAAGGTATATAAAAGAAAGAAGAAGAATAAAAATAAGGTGCATATGCTAGCATGGAAACCAATTATCACAATCATAGACGGACAACACCAATTGGAAATAATGTGGAACCGATGGCTATTTTGGATCGGCAGGTTCGAAAGTCAAGGTCAAACGACATACCTTCAGTGAAGGTGCAGTGGAGAGGTCAGCCAGTCGACGAGGCTACTTGGGAGACCGAGCGGGAGATGCGGAGCAGATATCCGCACATATTTGAGATTTCAAGTACATTTCTAGACCCGTTCGAGGACGAACGTTTGTTTAAGAAGGGGATGATGTAACGACCCGACCGATCGTTTTGAGAGTTGTAGCTCCGTTCCCCCATTTACTGCTCATTTTGTATTTTATAGCTGTTATGTGACTTGCCGAGGTAGTCGGTTCGGGTCCGGTGAAGTTTTGGAATGAATTGAGACACTTAGTCTCAAAGTTGGGAACTTAAGTTGAAATGTGTAAACGACTCCGGAATAAAGTTTTGATGGTATCGTTAGCTCCGTTAGGTGAATTTGGACTTAGGAGCGTGCCCGAATTGTGAATTGGAGGTCCGTAGTGGAATTAGGCTTTTTTTTAAGCAACTATACCACTCGGCAACACTTGCCTAGTGGCTAATATATAAATAAAATCCCAAAATGGGTCCAAAGCTTACAAGATGTCCAAACCAAAATAGAAGTTGCATGAAACTACTAGCTATTAAAAAGATAGAAAAGCTAAAATTTAATGAACTAACTATTACAACATAATAAGTTGAATGCTTCCTTCTCCTATCAGTGTATGTGAATTCATTTGTCATTGGCAAATACCAAGCAGCAGCTATCAAGCTCTCATCAGGCGCCCGGGTATAATGTCCATAGGCTAAAATAAATTCCAAACATCTCCACCACAGAGTTGAAACCAGCGTAGTCTTCCAAGTGTAACTACTATATGATCTCCATATGCAGCAAACTGATTTTGTCCAAGTATTAATCATGTGCTCACTCATCAGAATTAATGTGTAGAAGAGGAGCCTGGCTTTAGGCAGACTTTGCAGGGCAAAACCCAGGCTTGAGCTGGCTTTAGGCAGACTTTGCAGGGCATAAGCCAGGCTTGAGATGGCTTTAGGCAGGCTTTGCAAGGCAAAAGCCAGGCTTGAGCTGGCTTTAGGCAGGCTTTGCAAGGCAAAATCCAGGCATGATCTGGCTTTAGGCCGGCTATGCAAGGCAAAGGCCATGAATGAGCTGGGTTTAAGCAGGCTTTGTAAGGCAAAGGCTAGGCTTTGAAACTGTGCCTTTTTGTGATCTTGTAAGCTCAGATCCTTCCTAACTAGAACCTTTAATGTAGACATCATTCTAAACATTGCTAAACCATCCTTAGATTGAGCATGAAAGAATGCTAATACCACTGAGAAATGATTCAACAATCTCCAGAAATACCATATGATAGGTTCAGCATTTTTCTTAGCATTTGGACATATCAGAAGTAGGATAAATTGTACCATTCGACACCTGCTTATCGCATTTTTTCTGTACACTATCAAAGCACCCCCAGAATGAGCATGAGACCATGCTAATACCATTGGAAAGTACCTTAATAGCATACTAAATGAGACAAATAAACATGCCGGTTTGTGCAGAGTCCAATCTTGTGAAGCTATCAGTCTGTGGTTCTTCTCTTTGCAATCCTAACCCTAAGGTTAGGTGATTGAGATTTGTCTAGATTGATCAACCTTCTCCATGCACTAGGCAGTTCAGAGAATGAATGAAACTCATATGTACCTGCATTTATTCTCTTCCAAAGCTCCCAAGTAATGATAGCTGGTACTGCTTGAAACAATGGCTTTAATTTTGGACAACACTGAGCATACCGCTAATGTCTAATAACCTGCTTCAATTGAATCAATGGCACAGTAATTCCAGCATCCCCCATGAACAAGTTCCATACCTTAGAGGCAGTAGGCATTATGACAAATATATGCTGAATGGATTCCTCTTGGGGTTGCTGAGTGGAATTAGGGTTAAAATGGCGAAAGTTGAATTTTTTTTGGAAAGCTTGACCCGGAGTTGTCTTTTTGATATCGGGGTCGGATTCTGATTCCGGAAGTTGGAGTAGGTTCGTAATATCATTTGTGACTTGTGTGCAAAATTTGGGGTCAATCAGACGTTATTTGATAGGTTTCAACGTCGTTTGCAGAAGTTGGAATTCCTTAGTTTCAATAGGCTTAAATTGGGGTGCGATTCGTGTTTTTGATGTGATTTGAGGGCTCGACTAAGTTCGTATCGCGATTTAAGACTTGTTGGTATGTTTGGTTTAGGTTCCGGGGTCCTCGGGTTGATTCCGGATGGTTAACAGATCAAAAGTTGAAGTTGAGAGATTGCCGAAGCTGGACTCTATTAGTGTTACCGCAATTGCGGAGCTTTGATCGCAGGTGCGAGCTCGCAGATGCGGGCTGGGTTGCGCAAGTGCGAGTTTGGAGGGGAGTGTGCAGGTGGTCTCAGGTGCGAGGAGTTTTCTACAACTGCGTGGCCGCATGTGCGTCGAGAGGTGCGCATAAGCGAAAAATGCGCAAGTGCGATGAGGAATTCCGCACCTGCGATTGCGCAGATGCGAGGAGAAGGACCGTAGAAGCGGAGGCCCAACTACAGTGGTTCACCGCAGAAGCGGGTGGATTGTCGCTTCCGCGACACTGTAGATGCGGCAAAGTGTCTGCAGAAGCGGAAGTGCTGGACAAAACACTTAATACAAGGGTTCACGATTGTGCTTTATTTTAAATATTTTGAGCTCGGGTTTTGGCGATTCTTGAGAGGATTTTCGAAGGGATTCTTGAGGTAAGTCCCTTGTGCTTATTTTCAATCAATAATATTGCTTCCCCATTGATTTTACCACCTAGTTGGTATGTATTTAAGGTGTAAATTGAGAGTTTGAGGCTTGAAATTTGGACAGTTTGATTTGGGGATTTGGGTGACGATTTTGCATCGGATTTTGATAAATTTGGTATGGTTGGACTCGTGGTTGAATGAGCTTTCGGGTTTTGTGACTTTTATCGAATTTCAAGATGTGGGCATGGGGGTTGGATTTTGAGTCGATTTTTGACTTTTGATTAATACCTTAGTAGTTTCTTATGGAGTTGATTCCTTTAGCCCGTATTGATTATATCGAATTGTTTATGGCTAGATTTGAGGCATTTGGAGGCCATTTCGCGAGGCGAGGGTGTGTTGGAGTATATATTTTCTCGGATTGAGGTAAGTAACAGTTCTAAATTTGGTCCTGAGGGTATGAGACCCCGGATTTTGTGATATGTGATTGGTTTTGAGGTGACGCTCATGTTAGGTGACGGGCGTGTGGGCGTGCATCGTAGGAATTGTGACTTGATAAATTTCATGTAAATGTGTGGTTGAATAATTTATTGATATCCGTACATTTTCCACGTATTAGAGAAATCAAACTATAAATCATGTTTAAACTATGTATTTACATTGTTGGGACCCACAGAGGTTGTGTACATATTGAATTATCTGCTAAATTGTCGTTTCATACTCAATCATGTTTTTTACTTGCATATTACATCTCAGTCTCTATTGTCCATTACTGATGTATCATATTATTACTGTTTGGGTTATTTATCATGATTTCTAGGAGCCCGAGAGACTAGAGAGATTGATGACTGAGTGAGGTCGAGGGCCTAATTGTTAGGATATTTATGGGATCGGGTTGTACGCCGCAACATGTTTCATTTATTT